ACTATTAATCTATAATCACAATCTACGATATATCAAGAAATTTTGAATAGATCAATAAATTAAAAATTTGATTAAAATANNNNTCAGAAAATGCTTTCTTAGAATATTATAAAGGAATCAGTTGTAAAAAATGTGTGAAAACGTTAATAATAATTTATTTCAATGTAACGAATTATCAGCGTAACCTGGTGTTCCTTGCTGTTGAACTTTCATGTAGTTTCCTTTTACAAGTTTTCGATAAAGTTGTTCCAGACATACACACGTTTGTGTAGCAATCTTTCTTGACCGTTTGTGCGATTTTCTTTCGACGTCGAAATGGGGCATCTGTTCGACATGTGTTTCAATGCTCGAAATGTGACACGTGTGTTACGGACACCCCGTATACCTGACCTCTTTCGTCGTACGGAATATTAAACGATGTATACGGAGTCAAGCAAATCGATATACGGGCGATAAGTTTGGCTGAAATTCGCTACTGCCTCTGCAGTTCATCAGAGATCTTGGCACAATAAACATCGCGTCGTTCTCTTTCGAAACTTGCGAACTGCACGGACCATGAATCACGACATCTTGTAAACGGATCCTCTTCTCCTGTTTCCCGTACGCACCGGAAATAAGCTCCCAGCGTCATGTCGGCGAACATTATATGCCATTTCATTGTCGATGGCATCAACTTCCGAATCCCGTGGAATCGACAAAGATACGAATTTCGTGGAAAATTTATCCGTAGATTCGGTTCATCATTCGTCTCTCGCATGAATGGTTCTCTCTTTTTCTCCCCCCAAGTTAAAATAAACTTCTCGCTCAAAGGAAGACTTTCTCGTCTCACGGAGAAGGCGCAATAAACGAATAATAAATAAATAAAATAGCTAATAATAATATCATAGCTGAATAGCTAAAAATAGCACAGAATAATTTATTACGATCTTGTAGCGAATTATTCAGCAGAATTTTTATTTTAATTTTACAATAATTAATTTCGTTAATTTGTATGTCGGTTTAAGTTCCTTGTTTTAATAACACGAATTTACGAAAAACATTATAGACTTGAATAAATTTTAAAATTAATAATCGTATGCAATAATGTATGATTTTTTCAGAAATTTTTTATTCGACTCGTTTATTATTTTCAAAAGATATGTAGCTTTTTATACTTTTATTAATATAGAAACGATTGCTTCTCAATTATGCTCTGCCCTATTTTATGAAGCATTAATCATTTCACAATTTCAGATCCATAATATTTTTATTACCTTGCAATTTGCAAACGGATACGAGTTAAAAGGTGGATTATCTGCCAATTTTCATTTAACGATATGTTTCAAATATCTTTTTAATCTCGCGGTATTATTATTCATTCAAATCTCGCGATATTATATCCAACCCCGATCATTTGAACTCTTGTCCCACTCTTTAACATTATTTCATGCTATATTCCTATTGGGAGATGTACTTTTAAATTGTATTTGCTCTCCCGCTGATTGAAATGAAAGCCCATGGCTTGTTTCGCGCGATCAGCGTGAAAACGTATTACCGTTGCGGATATATTATTCACGGCTTTTACGCGGATCATCAAAAGTAAATACGGAATAATAAATTAATATCGGCACATGTATCGTCTCATTGCTTACAAATAACGCTTTGTAATAATCCGTAAATGGAACCACACTCAGTATTTTCAGTTCCTTCGTCGCGATGTAAAGGATATTATACTGAACGATCAAGGGAAATGCCTTCGTATCCTTTCAAATGCTTTCTAGCGATATTACATCAATATTGTTACCAAGAAAAAGATATCTGCAAACAGAAATATCCGATGAACTCTTCGCATGTCTCGACGTAATTCACAAAAATAAAAATTAATTTGTTAGAAATATTTAATATCTATCATAGAGTATTCTCGGCATACACATTATTTTAAAATATATTTTTAATATATTTTAATAATTATGTAACTTCTATTCTTGAAAAAAAGAAATAAATAAAAACGTGTCAATTTCTATTAGTAATCCAATTTCTCATAAAATTAAAACGTGGATCTTTCAAAAAAGTAAGCTAAATTAATTTTTACCTAAGAGGCAGAAATTGATATATATGAACCATTAAAAATATTATTATACGATTATTTCATGTAAAATTTATATATGTCATTTATGGAAAATCGATTAAGCGAAAGATATTCCTTAAAATCGTGCCAGACAGCTTCAATATTAATAGATTCATAATTTCCTTCGCGGTTCGCTTCGTAAAACGAGAGAGAGTGTTCAAAAGTGTAAGTTTGATTATCAAGATATAAATTTGTATCGGAGGAATATATCTCGGCAAGAGAAACTTCCGCAAAGAGAGAACTGCCGTTCCAATTTGTATTAATAATGTTTTCGAATGCAGGCAAATGAGCGTGAGATATACTGTGAGGAAGTCGGTGAAGAAGACCTCGTCGTCGTCGTCGTCGTCGTCGTCGTCGTCGTCGTCCTTTATATAAGCGGCAAACTGCAACATGGATGCGCACCTCCTTCCTTACTCCGGTTCCCCGTGCATCCTACGCAATGCTATTAAGCTTTGGGCGAAGAGAGCACTTTCGTCTTAGCTAACTGCAATTTAATTTTAATTATGGTCGAGAGAAGGTCGGGTTTCCCGCTATAATATCCCAGCTCTTAGGTAACATGGGAGGTACATGAGGGAGTGCCGTGAAATTTTTATCTCATCGAAATGCGCAATAAATCCCGCGATAAAAATCCGCAATGGCCGCGCCCTCGCGAAACAATTTATACTTATAGTAATAAAGACGAAGAATGAGTCAATATTTTCAAGGCTCAATGTACGAGGTATCGCGTAGGGTTTGAAAGATTATCTTGCGAGATGGATTAAGATATCGAAGTGAAAAAAGTATGTATCAGAAAAAGGACCGTATAATACATAGCATATAATACAATAATAATTTTATATAATATTATATAAAATTATAATATAATTATAATAAAATTAATATATAATTTCGAACTTTGACGCTGGAGCGCCCGAAGTGAAATTAATGAAGAGAGAGAGAGAGAGAGAGAGAGAGAGAGAGAGAGAGAGAGAAGAGAAGGACGAGAAAGTTAACAGATGAAAGTTAACAAGATTCCTCTCTCCTCCGTCTATTTCGTTCTAGCTTCGCACATTATTGTCAAAACATAATATTCACACGAAGAGAAGAGAGAGAGAGAAAGTTGGCGAGAATTTTCTGTCCACGTTTCCGATCGTGTCCGTCCCGAATTTCTCTTGCACCAGGTGTCATGTGTGTAATGGCGATGACCTTCCTACACGAATAGACCTTCCTAAACGTTCACTCTCACAGCTAAAAGAGCGTATATGTGTGTATATGAGAGAAAGAGAGATTGCATGTATATTACATGGAATAACTGTGCTCAAGATATCCTCTGTAATATTAGATGAAACGCAACCTCAGCATCTTTCAAAAGATCCCGATGTACTTCTGTGCTACATCCATACGTCATTACATACATTACATATAATAAAATTAATATATAACATAATTATAATTTAAATATAATAATTTTAATAATTTTATATAATATTATATAAAATTATTATATATAATATATTTAAATTATAATTATGTTATATATTAATTTTATTATATGTAATGTATGTAATGACGTATGGATGTAGCACAGAAGTACATCGGGATCTTTTGAAAGATGCTGAGGTTGCGTTTCATCTAATATTACAGAGGATATCTTGAGCACAGTTATTCCATGTAATATACATGCAATCTCTCTTTCTCTCATATACACACATATACGCTCTTTTAGCTGTGAGAGTGAACGTTTAGGAAGGTCTATTCGTGTAGGAAGGTCATCGCCATTACACACATGACACCTGGTGCAAGAGAAATTCGGGACGGACACGATCGGAAACGTGGACAGAAAATTCTCGCCAACTTTCTCTCTCTCTCTTCTCTTCGTGTGAATATTATGTTTTGACAATAATGTGCGAAGCTAGAACGAAATAGACGGAGGAGAGAGGAATCTTGTTAACTTTCATCTGTTAACTTTCTCGTCCTTCTCTTCTCTCTCTCTCTCTCTCTCTCTCTCTCTCTCTCTTCATTAATTTCACTTCGGGCGCTCCAGCGTCAAAGTTCGAAAATTTATGCAGTTGAAATTTTCTCTCTCGTCTACGCGCGTGTAAAGTTGAAATCGCCACCTGCAAAATTACTTCGTCGACACAGCAGCGGACCGAATGATCGGCTCCAGCTATTTCGACCAGGTATGAGGTCAGCACTTCGAGCGTTTGCACTTTGTCGGCGACATTGCATTGTGCATGCATACCTCAATGATATGTAGTTTTCGAAAATGCTTGTCCGATCGACCGCGATCGAGAATACGATGCTTATCAAAAGTATGATAACGATTCTCTCTCAAAGAGCGTCCAACAGACGAACGCAAATCAATGTAATAACGCCAAAAACTGAAGCTATTATGATTCTTTTGGTGATCTCTCTTTCTCTCACTTTTTTTCTCTCTCTCTCAAAGTAGTTAATTAGGCTACTGAAATATCGGAGTTGCGCGTATAAATGAACGTTACAAGATATAACTCGAACGATTGGAAAAGTTTCCGCAACTTTTTTTTTTTTTAAGCTATCTTACCGGCCGCTAATCAACTTCCTTTAACTTACTTTAAGCCGACCGTCATCTCCATCCCCTTCCTTCTATCTTCTTATAAAAGCGGATTTTTAAAATAGGAAAGTATCGATTGAGTGAGTTGAGATGACTTACAGAATATTTTATAAATGTTTGTACAATATATAAAGTATAATATATGTTTTAATATAATAGACACATCATACGATATTTAAATATCATAAATGGTGCCTTGCGTAAAATGTAGCAAAGACGAATCTTCGATTATTGCACCACGTGGATTCCCGATCGATTAGTTATCCAACTGAGGATCGATTTGGGCAAAGTTTAAATGTACGTTTCCGGCTGATTCTGTTACAGACATGAGTATCCTTCTCTTCAACGGATTCCTCCTGCTGGGCTTTGTCGTGGCTACGGTACCGGATGTTCTGGTGTTGGGTTCACCCGGCGCCACGCAAATCATGGATCGGGATCCGTCCGTGAAGAAGTGCCGCTACAACAGGCCCTACTCGATGCTGGAGGCACGATGCTCGAATTTGGAATTGCACGAAATCCCGACAAATTTGAAGGCGGACATACAGGTGAGAGATGTTCTTCAAATATGTATAATATAAATACACAAATTATCTACATTTACTCTTATTTTAAATTGTAATATAAAAAAGATAGTTGTATATTTTTTTTATTATAAAAAAATATTTTCACTGTACCGCGAGTATCTTTATTTTATCTTATCCGCAATTTATATAAAATAGAAGTTAATAAAGGAATCCCTATAACAAGTTCTAGAAATCAACTGCTTTATTTATATTTCATCTTTATTCAAAAATTTCCATTTATATTAAAAATAATGTTCCCACATATAAGTCTTTATGTTATATATTTTATTTAATTATTGTATCTTGTTTTTTATCGAAACCATCACGGATATAAAATGGGAGGGAAATTGGCAGTTAAATGTATGTTATGTATAAACTCGCTTACGCTCTTGTTTCCGCTCAAAGAGTAAATCTGATGCCAGACTTAGTTGCACGAAGGGGCACACAAGACTGGCTACGAGACGGATTGATGTCCCAGCGGTCTAACGCGTGCGCTGTCTTGTAGTAACGCGCGCGTCTCTAACATAATAGCATTACAGTAGTTTCGCTTTATCAACGTCGGCGATAAAATGCATACTTATTGGTACTCCCTCTCTCTCTCTCGGGCGTTTTTGTCAACTATATTATTTTACTTTTCAATACCGTACACCCGTCTCGCTTTAATAAATTACACGCGGTTCATGATTTTATGTAATATTAAAAGCGATAATAAATCCATCTTCGCACATCCGCGTATTCATAATTTATTCATTATTTCAGCGATGTTACGCGAGATATATGAATTATTAATCATTATTTTCTCTTCGTCGGATGTTGTAAATTTTTGTAATTGAATCTCGAATTAAAATTCGATCACTTTATAGCAGAATATATTAATTATATATGTTATTGTATTTCGAGTACACGAGATTATGATGATATATGTATCTTTTCGGAGTTCAAATCCTTCCACGGTTTCGCGCGAAACACATTTTCCAACCACGCATCTATTATTCCTTTTTTAACCGCCTGTCCAATACAACCCCATGTCGTAAATCCGGTACGTCTGCAGCTATACCTTGGTACTTTGGTAAACTTGCTTCGCGATGAAACCCAGGCAAAACTCCAGACACGCTAAATCCGGAGATTGGGTTGTCCAGGGTCACGAGGATAGATGCGTTCCGCAATACACTTGAGAAATTTTAACCGCGCGGAGATATTGTCAATGCTCCAGCGCATTTGATCTCGTATACCGGATGTCCCGAGCAAAATTCAAAACGGACTACAATTGCCTCTTTTTCAACAAAATAAATAATTTTTCTCAAGTAAATCTTTATAAATGTCATTTTAGAGATAATAAAATCTTAATTTCTATTTTTGTTTTATTAAGTAAATTATTTATCTTTATAGAATTTTTTTTCTCTTAATTTAACGAGTAATAATGCTTATCTACATCATTTTTTTTTTTAATCAACGTATGATCACTTTGCATAAAAATTTTGTCGATGAAATTGATTAGTAATATCAAAGAATTCGTGTAAAATTAGAGACGTTTATATTATATGAAGTATATGATTATAACATTATTATAATTGACAATAAAATATTTGTAAGGATTACGTGTAAAATTACAGTATTATGTGTATATCAAGGATTATATATAGGCGCATATATGAGTGAACAGAGAACTGTTTGTGCATTCGATCGACAAAGTTGGCTTGACGCAAGGAATGTACATAGTAGTAGACACATTCGTAGAAATACCAGAGATACTAATTTCGGAGTTTGGTCTATTTCATGCAAACCAAAATCAATAGAGTATTTTACAATTAATCTTAAATCTTTGATCTGAAATATCATAGAATATTTTGGTTTTAAAAGCAAGCTAAAAAAAGAGAATATATTTAGGAACAAATAAAATTATATATTTTAAGCCCGAAATGTTTAATTTATAAAGAGTACGATTAAAATTGAATTTGGCAAATTAAAAATCGATCGAGCAAATATATTTATTTTTCTCTCAATTTTAACTTTATACATACCATCGATTATTTTAATAAAATTTTTATTTGTAGATTTAAAAAACTTTTTAAATTAAATTAATATCAATAAAGGGGCATTAAAATGTTCATTTTTTCATCGCGTACTCGCGTACCGAGAGGGTAGGTGTCGCGTCAAAGAAACCATTTTACATCGTGTTAATATCTCGCTTCCCTGCATTATTGAGTTAGCTGGGCCATTAATTCTTCTCGTTGGTCAGCTAATCTGACAAGTGCATCTTTACGGAAACAAAGATCTTATTGATAAACGCCGAACTCTATTCCCCTTCAGTAGAATTACCATTTTTCATTCCGAAACATTTTTACTAACAAAAATCTGATGAATAGCGTATCAATCTTTGTCTGAATAACACAATGCGTGCCTGTATAAATGAAAGTTGCTACTATACGATATTAAGATGATATTTATCATGTTTCTCTCGTAATAATTATAATGTACTTTGGCTGAATATGTATAGCAAGTACATACAGGGACATATTCTATATATATATATATATATGGATATTTTCTGCTTAGGTGTTTATAAGTTATACAGCGATCATTTGTAAAAATTGAGAAGCCTTCCGGAAATCCCGAGAAATGAATTGTTAATGCTCCCACATCAGTGGTTTTTGTTTGTTAATTGTTAACCACCCTTCTTTCTGGTATAGATAAAATTAGCACTCGTGCCGCTTCGCGTGTTCCAGTTCAAGGCACTCATTACTCTATCCTTGGAACGTGCGCTTCGATGAATGTGACAGAATACGCGATAGGATGCGATAATACCTGATTGATCCAAAAAAGGTCATTCTCGATCATTTTCGTTTCGCTAATCTTATCCCGTAGTTAATTGCATTGCGAGAAAAACGTTCCGTTTTAGTAGCCCTTCGTTAACATACTACTAGGCATTTATAAAGTATTGATTTTTATTGCCGCATGTGTTGCGCATTATTTTATCCATTCAAGTTTGACACTTCTAATACGAAAATGTGTTTCTCGAAGATGCTGAAGAACGAGTTGTGAGTGTGATGAGTGGCTGAAAAAATTCCTGCACCAAGAAAAAATCGAATCTGAATTATCCGGAAGAAGAGGCCCGGACGAAAGAAACTATGAACATCTATACTTTTGTTTTATCTCAGTAGATCTCGTAAATAGTTTTTAATTTATAAGTTGTATAGCGATGATGTGAGAATTGAGAGATGAGTTGTAAAAAATTAAATTGTAATTTTCACTATATTGTAAGTGAGAAAAAAAAATAAAGTCGGAGTTTTCAAAATTTTTATTTTTGAAGTTTTTATTTGTATTACCTCTCTCTCTCTTGCCTATCATATTCCCGATATCTCCAAATTTAAATTTGTGTAATTCAAAATTCCAGAATTAAAATTTTAGATATTCTAAGAATTGCAGTTTATTAATTTCAATTTCTGGAATTTTAGATTATGCCACTTCTTTATTAATTATATTCTCTTGATACTTTTACGGATTTGAAAAGTTTAATTTCTTGCGGATCTTGAAATTTTAATTTGTGCTACCTCTTTGCTGATTATATTCTCCTGATACTTTTGCGGATTTCGAAGCTTCAAATTTTCGCGCTTCTTGAAATTTTTCCTTGTGCCATCTCCTTGCTGTTTATGTTCTCCTGATACCTTTGCGAATTTCGAAACTTCAAATTACAAATTATCACGTTTTTTTAAATTTAGGTTTATGCTACCTCTTTGCTGATTATATTCTCCTGATACTTTTGCGGATTTCGAAGCTTCAAATTTTCGCGCTTCTTGAAATTTTTCCTTGTGCCATCTCCTTGCTAGTTATGTTCTCCTGATACCTTTGCGAATTTCGAAGCTTCAAATTTTCGCGCTTCTTGAAATTTTTCCTTGTGCCATCTCTTTGCTGGTTATGTTCTCCTGATACTTTTGCGAATTTCGAAACTTCAATTTCCATGCTTTTTAAAATTTTAGTTTGTGCCATCTCCTTGCTAGTTATATTCTCCTCATACGCCATCTCTTTGCTGATCATGTTCTTCTGATACTTTTGCGGATTTCGAAGTTTTAAACTCTACACTTTTTAAAATTTTAGTTTGCGCCACCTTCTTGCTAGTTATGTTTTCCTGATATTTTTGCGGATTTTAAAGATTCAAATTTTCGCGCTTTTTGAAATTTTAGTTTATGCCACCTCTTTGCTGATTATATTCTCCTGATACTTGATTTTAAGAAATTAGTTTCAATTTCAAAAACGAAAAATCGGTAAAAAAGTATCATGAAAATATATAATTGACAAAGAGATATATGGGAATGGATGTTTGAATAGGTTCATTCAAAAGACGTATGCGTTTGTATTATTAACATATAGTTTATTAGATTTTTTTAAATTACAAAATATATTTTACAGACTATTATCGATTCTCTTATATATATATAGCGTTACGTACATAATTCTTTTCCACTGCATTTTATCGTCGATGTTTCATCAAACAATAAATTAAAATTATTTGGAAACAAAAATAGTTTTAGAAAGTCTTAGAAAGTACATTAACCTAGGATCTCTTTAGAAAATATATTAATCTATTGGATATCGCAACATATGTAAAATAGACATTCTCGTTATACATAATATGCATTAAACACTAAATAGGAATTATTTTCAAATACTAAAAATAATATGACTTTGTACATTCGTGAATAAAAATGGATTGATCGTTTTCGCTGTTACATTTTGCGCGGGCGCGCACACACACATACACACGGTCATTTTTATCATTATACAATAATACACACAGGCATTTTATTACGTGTATACATATATCGGGTGTCGAACGCAATCGCTTTCGCTATTACACTACACTTGTACACACGGTCATTTTTATTATTATACAATAATACACATTGGCATTTTATTACGTATATACATATATCGGATATCGGACGCAATCAGAAATGTGATTTTTCCAGACAAAATCATATTTTGCGACATTGCTAATTCCTGCATTATCAATAATTTCTCTATCGCAATAATCATGCAGTATAAAATATTTTATTAAATAATTCTATCGTTAAAAGATACGAACTCCATAATTGAGTGGTTCGTGAAAACTGAGTGATATATTTTAGAAACGTAGTGTAAGAATTTTTACCATCTAAAACATTATACATACACACATATATATTATGAGACTCTACTCTATCAGATTATAATTTATTTTCCAATTCAACTTAACAATGACTTTAATACTCCAAATTAATGCAATGACTTTAATACTCCAATATCCGTTTATCATTAATAATCTCTCGAAAATATATGACCCATTTTTTTATCTATTCAGATATATGTATGTTTTACCTTCGATTTTTTTTCTTTGTTTGGTAGGTGCTGGATGCTACCGTGAATCGATTGAGGGAACTGACAAACGACAGTTTGACTCCTTACAAGAGTCTAGCCTTCATCTACCTAGCTGACAATTTCATTCAGAATATCGAGGAAGCAGCCTTCGCTAATCAACTTTATCTGGAGGTGCTGGATCTCTCGCAGAATGGTTGCGACAATTTGCCCAAGAATCTCTTCCAATTACCGTATCTCCGCACGCTGTACCTCGGTTACAACAAACTCACCGATTCGGTATTCAAGGTAAAGGTCACCTCACCCCTCAAGATGCTACAATTGACCAAGAACAAGCTCACCAGGATCCCGAATTTAGGCGCCCTGCCAACTCTCATTAATCTCAACGTGTCCGACAATGTCATCGTCTCGGTCAGCACCGAGGATTTGGCGCCATTGTGCTCGCTGAAGACACTTGATTTGTCCAGGAATATCATTAGGTTCAATCTTGGCAGTTGCGAGTGTCAGATGTTCAACGCCTGGGTGAAGCTGCGGCAGATCAAGATCAAGCCTGATGATTTCTACAATTGCACCGATTCACTGGCCGAAGATTGCGCCAATATGGAATTCAGCAATCGGACGTACGAGCTGTACAATGAATGCTCAGCCATCATACAACAGGAGGTAGAGACTGAGAAGGCTCGATCGGCATGGATACTGGTGGCCTCGTGCGTCTCGGTGTTCCTCTTCGTGGTCTTCGTGACGCTGTTTTGCGTGCACAAGCGGAATCGCAGGCGACGCAGGAAGCAGAAGGAGCAGCAGCAGTTAACGGCGAACAACGCCAACACCGAACTGCTCAACAGCAATCTGACGGCGGGTAATTCGTGAAATAATTGCCAGAAAAATGTACAACAGTAGAAGCGTGTAATGGCTCTTTTGTGTCAATGATGAGAATAGAATTCTACGCGTTCCGGAGGGGATGAAAGTTTTAATGTATTCACTTTGAGAAGTAATAAAAACGACGTTCGAAATATTCAAGAAAAAACTGTTGGTGTTTATTGAGAGTTTAATCGACGAATTTACAGAGAATTTAATCGGATATATCTGCGGTTATGTGCCTAAGTTTGTATCTGATCATTAATACACATCGCAATGTTCAATAAACATAAGATTATATAGAATACTGCTCCTGGCGCGATTGCCATTTTGAACAATATTACAAGTTTTTGAGAAAAAGTGAGATATTATATAGCCTCTTGAAAAACGCGAACGACGCGATATAAAGGCGTTATCATTCAGAAGCCGAGATATCGAGCAAAATATGTTGGAATGGTACTTATTGTTACAGATTACTTAAGACTTTAAAAAGAGGAGAGCAGCTTTATCGAAAGTAATCAACAATAATAAAGAAGACAGCTGCGCGGAGATTATACTTATAAGATATAAACGCGTTAACTTATAAAATGTGTAAATGTTCTATATTGTGTTCACACATATATAATGGTTACGATATTTACATATAAGATCTATGTGAATGTGCGGCGAATTTTCAAGAAACTCTGCGTGTTTGAACGAATATTATCCCACTATATTCTCTTCGCGACGATATGTAGGAAATCTCGATGTTGATTTCTTCGATGTCGGTCGAATGAATCTCAAAACCGATCGCTCAATGTCGTCGCGTGCTTTTTGTCGATGTAATAGCATTGCGAAAGCGTGCATTTATTATACGGTTTATATGGTACTTAAGCAGAATTTTCTCCCTTGGAGGACTTTGCGACGCCAAAGTGGATTTTTTTTATATCCAAGTGTCGATAATTTTATTTACTTCCTATTGGAAAACTTTTCTTACTTACAATTTTGCAAATATTTTTATTTATTTCTAATCAATCAGCTTAAATAGCTTTATTTATTAAGTTTAGTATCTCTACTCGAAACTTTTTTGTGTATTTATTTGTAAAGATATATGTACGCATATTATAACAGGACCTATGCACTTATTTCTTTGAGCTATGATCAACATTTCTCTTCTTTCTGTTTCTTTAAAGCATTTCTATTATGCAAATATGTATGTATATTATTGTAAATTGCTATACATATTTAGAGGATAAACAATTAAGTTATATATATATATATATATATATATATATATATGAAGATGTAGCATAGAATGTTTCCTCTCAAATTAGCTGCATTTTTAATCTTATACATATTGATTTATCATAAAAAA